TGCGGGAACAAAAGATCTGGTAATCTGTTGAGGACATGTAGCAGATATTTTGTGTGGGAAAATTTGATGTCTAGAGGAGAAAACTATTTTTGAGAAAAGGCAGGAAAGGTCTGAGGTAATTTGGGGAGGACAGGCAGAGAAAACTTTGTGACAAAACCTTAGGTAATTTTTAAGGGCCAGAAAGAAATTTTTGAGGTAAAACCTCAGGTAATCTTCAAGGGACTGAATGAATATTTTTGAGGCAAAGTCTGAGGAAATCTGTATGGGACAAATAGGGAACATTTGTGAGGGAAAATATGAGGGGAATCAGTAGGGGACAAAAAGGACATTTTGGAAGTAAAATCTGAGGTATCAATAGGTGGCATTTTGGGGCTCAAATGAGAAGTCATGCATAAGTGCAGATGGGGACATTATGAAAGGAAAATCTGAGTTAATCTAAATGGAATAGAACATTTTGGAAGGAAAATCTTAGGTAATCTGTAGGGACCAGAATGAACACTGAGGGAGAGGTGGGTGCCCCAAGTGATGCTGAGGGGATGTGGGGGTCACTGAGGGAATATGAGTGTTACTGAGGGGATGGCCAATTCCCCACGTGTTGCTGAGGGCCATGAGGGTCACTGAGGGGAGGTAAATGTGAAGATCAAAACTGGGCAAGAAAATATAACTCTACTGTCAGCTGGCTACAGAGCAGGTGTTTGTTTATTCAGCGCTGGGAGTGAGGTGGATCTCTCCACCAAAATCTCACTCAATCTTCTTTAGCCTCCAGTTACATTTTAAAAGTCCTTCCATGCAACATCACACTCACACCATTTCATAAGCATACTTATACTTGCACAAAGCTGTGTCATCTGTTTGTTGCTTTTGTGCATGCATCAGTTCCTTCTGTGGTGGTCATCAGTCTTATGGTTGATGAAAACTTCTGTAGTCTTCCTCACGTTTGAACTTTTTACCTCTATCTTCAGTGCATGCCTGGTGCTTCTTTTTTTCAGCCTAATTTGTTTTTCAGTAGTTTTACCGTTTGCAAGTTCTGTTAAAACTTGCTATCTTGCTCTTGATGGTGCTTGTTCTCTCACGGGCTTTGCTACCTTGCTTGTTTTAGGTGCACATCTAGTTACAGTATCACTGGTGGTTAACCTTTTGTTACATGCTGCTTAGGATTCAGATGCCACTTGTGTTCCTCTGAGGGGAATATGAGGGTCATTTGAGGGGAGGCAGGTGCCCCGTGTTCCTCTGAAGAGATATGAGTGTCACTGAAGGGGTGGCAAATACCTGTGTGTTGCTGAGAGGGCGTGAGGGTCACAGAAGGAATGGTGTGCACCATGTCTCAGGTCTGAGTGTGTGGTCGTCCATTGGCAGAAGCCATGCGACAACGAGGCAAGAGTGGCAGTGGCTTCGAGTTCCGGAGTGGAACGGCGAGGGAAGAGGGAGCTTGGAGCTGAAGAGGGGGCACAAGAGGCTCTCTGGGCAAAGGGCCTTCCTGGCATGGCCAGGGCAGGATGCCTTCTGGGCACTGCAGCTGGCTTTGCTCTGGGCAGCATCCCTGGAAGCAGGGCTGGGTCTTTGCTGCTGTTGACCTTTTGCCTTTGTGCTCCTTTGGCTGCCCGGAGAGAGGAGCAACCCTGTAGGGAAGGTGAGAGCCCCTGTCTCCACACCTGAGGGGGAAAATGGAGCTCTGCTGGTCTTCAGCCCAGCCACCAACCCTGTCAGCAGGGTGGGGCCTTTTGCCCAGCCCCGGCAGCTTTCTGCCAGCTGCTGGCCCCTGGCCAGCGTGATCCCCTGTACTCGGGGTACGTCACAGCCTTTGTCCCTGTGCCAGCCGTGAAGTGCCTCAGTGCATCGAGGCCCCTGTACCCTCTCCGCAGTGCTGCAGGGGCAGGTCTGACACTTTCCCACTCATCATTAGGGATGGCTCCCTAGAGCAGCCTGGCTGCACCGAACTTGCTCCCTCTTCTGGGACTGTCTTCCCTGTCTTCCCCTCCCTTGTCTTCCCCTTAGCTGGTGTGAGTGAGCAAGTGCGTTTGTTCCCCTTTAGCCTCCCTTTAGAAGGAGAGCAGTGCATCTTAGACTTTCCAGGAGGGCTTTGTGCAGCCACAGGGAGGTGCCTAAAAATGCACGGGCGTGGAGAAAGCCTCTGGCTTTGCCCCTGCTTTCTGAGGTGGGCGTGAAGCCGCTTAGCAGCAGTGTGGGCACTGTGAGCTGCCTGTAGCTAGGGTCCGTGGCTGTGCCTATGCAGCTGGTCCTGCTGGTGACCTGGCAGCGTGCCAGCCCCGTACTCAGGGACGTGTCACAACCTTGTTGAGCCCTTTGTCCCCAGGAGAGACAATGGGGCCGGGAGTCATGGTGCCATGTGCTGGGTGTGTGCCCTCCCTGTCCTCGGGGTTGGGGTCCTGGCCCCTCGACTTTAGGCCATGAGCCCGACTGCCTGACTGTAGAGACCCTACAGTTCCTGGTGCCGTGGGGAAAGGCTGAGCTCTGTGGCTCCCTGGGTGTGGACCAGCCTGTAAGCAGGCTGCAGGTCTGGGATCCTTTGTGCTCCCTCAGCTGGCAGCCTGCGTGGGGCGAGCACCCTGTTAGTGGGGAGTGCCCTGGAACGGGAGAGAAGAAGCCTTTGTAGGCCTTGGGGACCAGGGCCACCCTCTAAGTTGGGGCCGGTGCTCTGGCGTCCCGGGCACTTTGCAGTCCAGGCAGGGGTCTGAGCCCCCTGTAAGCAGGGCTGCAGCCTCTTGCCCGCTGCTTTGCATGCCCAGCTTCATTTGCCCAGAGGGCCTGGCTCCCAGCAGTGCATGGGGCTGTGCCCGACATTGTTATAGTGAGTCCTCCTGAAGTTGGAGGCTTTTGGGCAGCTGGGGCAGGGGGTTCTGTGGCTGGTGGCTTGAGGATCTCGCTGTGGGGCTGTTGGGTTGCCGTTTCCTTCAGGCAGAGGAGCTGGAGCTCCTCAGGCCTGAGTGTGTCGTTCTGCATTGGCAGAAGCTGAGGGACAGCGAGGTAAGTGAACAAGACCAGCAGTGGCTTTGAGCTCCAGAGTGGAATGGCAAGGCAAGAGCGGCAGCTTGTGTCTGAGCACTGAGGGCTTTTTACAGCTGGGGAGTCTGTGGGTTGCTGCTTGAGGATTTCCCTATTTTACTGTTCAGTTATGGTTCCCTTCGGGCACAGGAGCTTGAGCTTCTCAAGCCTGAGGGTGTTGTCATCTATTGGCACAAGCCATGGGGATATGAAGGTAATGTACCTGAACTTCCACTCTGGCCACAGTCCTGCCCATCTTGCTTCCCTCTTCCTGGCCCTTCCATCATCTTCCCTGGCCAGGAGCCCCCTTCCCTGGCTTTTCAACAGCCTGTACAGCAAAACCTCCCTCCCTTGTAATGGCCTGGGCTCTGCTGGAGAACCCATGGAGATGATGAGGTGTTATATCAGGCACTGAATGTCACATCCGGCCCTTCCCCAGACTCATCCCAGGCCTTTATTTTGCTCATTTACCCAGCAATGATCTCACCAGCTTCAGCTTCTACCGAGGCTTCTGAATAGGAGAAGGGCTTGAAGGGGAACAAGATACAGTATCAAATCTTCCAGGATTTTTGTCAGGCTGCAGATCTATTCCTGCTCCCTGTGAGAGTAAAACAACAGTCTGGGAGGAAAATGAATGCCTCCATGTTCTTCTGTAAGCTAATGATGTGTCATGAAGGCACTGACAACCCAGCCTCTTCTGAACAAGTATAAAAGCAAAATCAGGAGAGTGGAGGGCTGTAAACGTGGCACAACTGGTCAGCTGCCTCTCCTTTTGCTCAGGTTTACCATTACCATTGCAATTCTGGCTGGATGTCATCTTTCTGCCCTGCACCTCTGTAGTTCCTGTGACTAACACAGCCTGAAACGTGAAGGCAGAGCCCTGGAAACAGTGAATGCAAATCCCACATGGTCTTTGCTGGGCTGGTGCTCCCAGCCCCCAGTGAATCGAGGGGGAGGTAATGTCTGGGTTGCTGCCCTCTCTCCAGGGGTGGCTTACCCTTCCTCCCGCCGTCCTTTTCCTCCTCCCACGTTTCTGGCTCTGCCTGGTGAGAGCTGCTGGGAAAGCAACACAACGGGGTCTATTCAGTTCTCACTTCTGCAAGGAGAGCAAACACTGATGCAGGAGCTCGTCAGCTGCTAGACAGGGCAGGGGACACTTTCCTCTCTTTGACACATCTTGAAGTCCAGGAACTACAAACCCCAGGTATGTGAACCCTCCAGGTGTGAGGGAGGGAGTGATGGCATGATGTCAGTGCTGCAGGCACAGCACGGGGACTGAGTTTAGGAACATTATATTGGTGACACTGGGCAGTGGGTGTGCAGGAGAGCGCTGCCCCAGTGTGTGTGTGTGGGCTGCAGCAGGACTAGATGGGGTGACAGCAGGAGGGCAGTGTTGGGGCATGGGACCACAGGGGACAATGAGCTACAGTGGGTATGAGGCTGTTCACTACAGTGGCTCCACAAGTTTGAGCCTTGCAGACCCTTCTGATGCTGTCTCAAAGCTTAGGGGGATGCATCGGTCCTATCTGCAGCCTGCTGCCTCCTCTATGTTTCTCCCAGCTTTGGCCTCTCTCTGTTACCTTCGCCCCAGGGAATCACTCCTGCCCAGCCAAAACCAACCTCTCCTTCCTGCAGCTAAACAGTGGAGTTCTATTCCAAACACTGCTATGAATAGTTTAGGAGGGAAGCACGGAGCTTGCAGCATAGTAGGCAGAGAGCTAGGAGGCAGATGACCGGGATGGGTGGAGACACGGGACATTTGTCATTCAAAGAAGGGTAGCAGCTCAGAAGCCTGTGTGATCACATTCCCTGAATGGCTCCACCTGCTTGCCTTAGAAAAACAATTGTAGGAGAGGTATTGATTGTCCTCACAGACCAAGGCAATTTGAAGTTAGTGATATTTGAAGAAAATCTGGGGGTGGGTGTCTATTTCAAGCCAGATCCTTGTGTGACCTGCTAGCTGTGACCTTCACTTTTCATTCCTCTCTTTCTTCCACTCTTCCTCATTAATAACTTGTGAAATCGTAGTGTGAGAGCAAGAGAAAGTGAGACCTGCCCCACTAGGCGATAGCAGCAGCCCTTTTGGCACAGGGGGTACCAAGCAGGCAATGCTGTTTGGGAATGCCTGGCCTCTCTCCTGGCCTTACTGCTGTCTCTCCCCCAGTCACAGGTGCCCTCCAACATGGGGCCATCCTGGGGGCTCCTCCTGCTCGCAGCGGCCCTGGGGGCGACCACTGCTGCTCGCTGCCCTGCACCCTGTGTCTGCGATAACCTCCGTGCCCATGTCCTGTGTCTCAATGGGAGCCTGACTGCCATCCCTGACACCATCCCAGAGGTGGGGAAGAGGAAGGAAGGTCGAGGGATGGGGAGAGAAGATAGGTATGGCAGCCCTGGGGTAACTCGATGTTTTATTTGTGTGACTGACAGCTCACCAGAGAACTAGACCTTCGGGGCAACAGTTTCATGGTCATCCCAGCCAGAGCCTTCCTTGCCACCCCCTACCTGACACACTTAGACCTGCAGCGTTGCAAGGTGGAGAGGCTGGAGGAAGGGGCTTTCCGGGGTCTGGGGAGGCTTGTCTACCTCAACCTGGCCTCCAATGGCATAGTCCTCCTCTACCAGGAGTCCCTGGACGGGCTCTCCTCCCTCCAGCAGCTCATTCTGGCGGGGAATCGCATTGAGGAGATACAGCCTGGTGCTTTTGGCCATCTGGGGTCCCTCACTGTCCTCGACCTGAGGGAAAATGCTTTGGTCTACCTCCCAGACATGGTCTTCCAGGGTCTGCAGGTTCTTAGATGGCTCCGGCTGTCCCACAATGCCCTCCATGTGCTGGGCAGTGAGGCCTTTGCTGCTCTGCCTGCCCTGCGCAGGCTGAGCCTGGACCACAATGAGCTGCAGGCACTGCCTGGTGAGGCCCTGGCCAGGCTGGACGGGGCTACTTGGCTAGACCTGGGCCACAACCCCATCACCTACGTGGCCGAGGAAGCCCTGGCTATGGCGTCGCTGAGGCACCTCTTCCTGGACCATGCCTCCCTCCAGGATGTGGCACCCGATGCCTTCGCCCGCAGTCCCCAGCTCCGTATTCTGGACCTCCGGGAAAACCAGCTGCAGGGGCTGCCACCCCTAGCTGGGGTTGGGGGGCTGGTAAGGGTCAGCCTGGATGGGAACCCTCTGCTCTGCTCCTGCTTCCTGCGCCCCTTCCACAAATGGCTGGCAAGGGCACGGGTGCAGGCCGAGGGTGCCTGTGCTGCACCCCCTACCCTCCGTGGCCGGTCCCTTGACTCCCTGAAGTCCCTTGAGATGAGATGCAGTCGCCTTCGGCCACCCCCTAGCCCCACGGCACCACCAGAGCAACCAAGGGCAGCCGGCAGCAGGCAATGTCCCCAGGGATGTGTCTGCTCCCCCGATTTCCATCATGGGTCCTGCGAGAACAGGAACCTTCAGGAGATCCCTCGGGACTTCCCTGAGAACACCCGCCTTCTCGACCTGCGCCGAAACCCCTTCAGGACAGTGCCACCGGATGCCTTCCCTGGCCTGAAGGAGCTGGTGTCACTCCACCTGCAGAGATGCAGCATCAGGGTGCTGCACCCCGGGGCGCTCCGGGGGCTTGAGAGCTTGGTCTACCTGTACCTCACCAACAACCACATCTCCACCCTGGCAGCTGCTGCCTTTGAAGGGGCCCCGCAGCTGGCCTACCTCGACCTGGACCACAACGCCTTCACCCGTGTGCCTGCAGGCACCTTCCGGCTCCTGCCCAACCTCATCTCCCTCCATCTGCAGCACAACGCCATCAAGGAACTGGCAGAGGGTGACCTGGCTGGAGCAAAGGGGCTCCGCTGGCTCTACCTAGCTGGGAATGCCATCAGGCACATTGCCCCTGCTGCCCTGGCTCCCACCAAGATGCTGGAAAAGCTGCAGCTGGAAGGAAACCACCTATCGGAGGTGCCCACAGCAGCCCTGTTGGGCCTGCCTGCCCTGAGTGAGTTGAAGTTGTCCCGAAACCCCATCAAGCACATGGGGGACAGTGTCTTCCTGCCAGTGGCCTCCAGCCTGCAGCATCTCTACCTGGACAACATGGGCCTGGAGCGGGTGAGTGTGTTATGGGACTCCCAAGGCGCAGTGGCACCACAGAGCATATTACAAGTTTCATTGCCCAGGGCCCGTGGCCCCGAAAGGGGCATCCAAACAGATATCACTGAATTCCCATGCCTTCAGGAGATGTTTCATAGCCTGGCTGGGAAGCCAGATTTCTTCAGGCTCAACTGTAGCATTGCCTTGCTTCAACCTTGCTCCTGACTCCTCTAGGAGAAACTTCCTCCAGTCCTTAAACACCGAATTTCATTGGGGTCCAGATCATTCCCTAAATCACCTCCTTCCCCTAGCTCTGGCCAGATTTCTCTTTCTCTAATTACAGGCTGTCCTGCAGGACTCTTCACTGATATTACCCTGAATATTTCCATCCTCTCAAGGAAGTGGTGTTATCAGCACCCTCATAAAAACTGTGTATCTTAAGAGCACCCAGGTCTCACTCTGAAACCTCCTGCATGTGACCTTTTTAGGAAGACTGAACAAGAGTCTAAGGAGTTAAAAAATGTGGAGCCGCCAGGTTCGGGACAGGTTGTCAGGCCTCCATGATGATCAGAAGTGTAGCATCAGAGATCTGCTCCCCTGCTTTGATCAGCATGTCCCTCACTTAAACTTCTTCCATTGCAGATTTCCCCCCATGCCTTCACTGGCCTCGGTCCCAAGATCAGAAGCCTCCACCTGGAGAGCAACAAAATGAGTAACATACCTGACATGAGCAACTTCACGGGGTTGGAGATCCTCAACCTGCGGGACGTGCCCTTCCACTGTGACTGCCAGCTCCTTCCGCTGCACAGGTGAGTGCCACGAGGGGACAACAGCCTCATGGATCTGTCTGGGGGAGCAGCTGGACCTCTCATGCTGAAGGCACAAGCTCACAGCACACTGGCCATTTTTGGTCTTTTCCAGAGTTGGTGAGATGTAGCACACATCTGTGTGTAAGGATGGAAACCGCCTGAGCTTTCTAGGTGTAGAGAAAGCGGCCACAAGCTGGATTAGGCATTCAATATTCAGAGGTCACCCAGGTGACCTGGCCTTACTTTGAAGTGATCATCCACTTATGGGCGTAGACTTTTGCCCTTCCTTTCGCTCTGCCTCATTCCTTTCCCTGATCTTCTGCCACATTTCCAGGTGGATCAACCAACTCAACCTCCGTGTAGGGGCCATCTGTGGGTCCCCTGAGGAAGCCAAGGGGCTGAAGGTGAAGCTTTCCACCACTTTCCAAACTTGTCCTGGCTGGGGACAAAGCAAGGCTGGGGAAACCAATCCTAACAAGAATACGGCTGCAAGCAAGTCCAGCAAGAAAAAGAGGTCGGGAAAATCTCCAGCCAGAGGCTTCAGTAAGAGCAAAGTTTAGGGTTTCTTAAAGTGTGTAAGATATGTGCTGGACACAACAGGGCCATACCTACAGTCTGGCTAGAGCAGTTTTTATAGATTTGTCCCCACCATGGAAACATGAATATTGCCCAAGGTGCAAAGGAGAGCTTGGTGCCACCAAAACAATGCTGATTTGCCAAATATGCAGGGTTTGGTTTTGCAGGACACAGAGGCACATTCCATAGAGTCTGCAGCATGCTTTGCTGATGCAAACAATGAAGCCAAATACTTGCTTCTTCCTTCCAAAGCTTCCTCCAGCCATGTGGAAAAGCTGCTATCCACAAATTTGGTTTTGTTTTTGAGAGCATTTTCACAGCTTCCAAAATCATAGAAGAACCCTGAGTGGGACTGCAACCAGCACCATCCAGTAAGGTCCTGCACTGGCACAAATCTTATTCTTGAAAGCTTAAAAATTATTAGTCAAAATGTTGCCTTAATTCCCAGCAGTTCATCAGAATTAAAATATATGCACATGGAAGCCTTTTTATTTCCTGCAGAATTTGATCAGTGATCCATAAGTGATCCCATGATCTGGAATGTGCTCAACCTACTCCACATGACTGCATAGGTTGGGACCTATGAAGTTTGTTTAAATTGAAAAGGCTTCAAAAGATAAATTTACAGGTAAAGACACGTTTTGACTAACTCTGCATTTCGGTGGCCTGGAAAGCAATACGCAAGCCTTGGGCCTCTTCCTGAAGTTGGTCACGGGGCTTTAGGGTACAGATTGTAGATCAAATTTACAGTACAACTGTTCAAATAATTAAAAACTCAAACCATGGTCCAAGTCCTCTGCAGTTCTTGGTTCAAAAGCAAGAAATGACAGAAGACACATAGTACAGATGAATATCTGGTTTTGAGGCTGGTGCCATGGACAAGGTTTTGCCTTTTGTGACAACAGTGTGTGCTTTGTAACATATACAATAGCGTGTGATTGTAATATATTAGGGTGGGTGTGCTTTAATGATTATAACATGCTAGGTGGATGGGATCCACCTGTCTATAAAGGGTTAGAGAATTTTTTGAAGCAGCAGAAGCAACAGAATTTTTGGTGAGATGGACTTTAAACCTAAGAATTCAGTGCAGGTGAGATCCAAAGTCCCATGGCTTCCTCTGGGGAGTAGATCATACCAATCAGTGCAGTGAAAGGTGTTCCTTGATTGTTCCTCAAGATGAGCATCAAAGAGCTACCACTGAAAGTGCTTATGGTAGCGGTGAATCCTCCTAAACTCCTTCTTGGGTAATCCAATTGCTTGATTAAACCAGATGTGAGTGGGACAATTTCAGGTTCTTCCTTGGAAAGCTGTGGGATGGTATGAAAAGGTTAGAGGGACAGGGTGCTAGCAAGTCTCTCTGCAGGTGACTTGAAGAGGTAGCAGACACAGGGGAGCACACTTGGAGTCTTACAGAGGCTACCAGGGACTCCTGAGATAACAGAAGCCAACAAGGATACCAGCAGGGAAATAGCTCAAAGGAATGAAGGGGTGTTCCTCTAGGAAGGTGATGCAGCCAAAAGCCTGGCCAAGGTGCCTTTACACCAATGCATGCAGCATGGGCAACAAACCAAAGGAGTGGCTGGAAGCCACCATGCTGAAGTTACGACTTTGCTGCCATTACTGAAACTTGGTGGGACAAATTGTGTGACTGGAGTGTGACTACTAATGGCTATGAGCTGTTCAAAAGGAGGGAGAGGTGGAGGCCCTCTACGTCAAGAGGTGCATTGAGTGTGAAGAGCTGTCTCTGAAGAACAGCCATGAGCAGACTGAAAGACTGGATAAAAACCAGACACTGAGGCAACAAAAGGAACCTTGTGGTTGGGGTCTGCTACAGCTGTCTGACCAAGGGAAGCCTATGGACAAAGCTTTCTTGCCCCAGTTACAGGAGGGCATCGTGTGAGCATTGTGCTCACACACTCCAGTCCTGTGGGAAGGACTTCAGCCACCTTCACATGTACTGGGAAAACACTGAAGCAAACTGCAGGCAATCCAGGAGACTCCTGCAGTGCATAGAGGATAGCTTCTTGAGCCAGATGGATTTCTGTAAAGCTTTTGACACAGCCCCTCACAACTATTCCCTCCAAACTGGAGTGATGGATTCTATGGGTAGAATGTTTGGTGGATTAGGAACTGGTTGGATGGTTGCCTTGAGTGCAGTGGTCAACAGCTCAGAGTCCCAGTGGGCATCAGTGAGCAGTGGTGCCTCTCAGGGTTCTGTACTGGGACTAGTGTTATTTAATGTCTTCATTAATGACACAGATGAAGAGATCAAGTGCACCCTCAGCAAGTTTGCAGATAACACCAAGCTGAGTGGTGCTCTTCAGGCACCTGAAGGATGTGATGCCAGCCATAGGGATCTGGACAGACTGAAAAGTGGGCACATGGGAATCTCAGGTTTAACGAGCCCAGGTGTAAGGTGTAGCACTTGGGTTGAGGCAACCCCCGTATTAACACAGACTGAGGGATGAAGGGATCAACAGCAGTCCTGCCAAGGATTTGGGGATACAGGCAGATGAGAGGCTGGACATGACCCAGCAATGTGCACTCACAGCCCAGAAAGGCAATCAAGCATCAAGAGAAGAGTGAAACCATCAAAAGCAGCATAGCCAGCAGGGTGAGGGAGGGGATTCTCCCCCTGGGCTCTGGTGAGACCCCACCTGCAGTGCTGCATCCAGCTCTGGGGTCCTCTGCACAAAATGGATAAAGGCCTGCTGGAGCAAGTCCAGAGGAGGCCACCAAAATGATTAAAGGGATGGAGCACCTCTCCTATGAGGAAATGCTGACAGAATTTGGATTGTTCACTCTGGAAAAGAGAAGGTCTCAAGGTAACCTAACTGCAGTCTCCTGCTACCTGAAGGGAACCTACAGGCAAGATGGGACAAGACCATTTACAAGAGCATTAGTGACAGCACAAGAAGAAATGGGTTCAAACTGAAAGTAGTTTTAGATTATGTATTAGGAAAAAAATCTTTACTGTGATGGTGGTGAGGCACTGGAACAGGTTGCCCAGGGAAGTTGTGGATGCCTCATCCCTGGAAGTGTTCAGGGCCAGATCAGATGGGGCTCTGGGCAACCTGATCTAGTGTAAGGTGTCCCTGCCCACAGTAGGGGTATTAAAACTAGATGAAGATCTTGAGATCTTTAAGGTCCTCTTCCAACCCAACCATTCTATGAAAAAAGTCTCTCTTCTTCAGCAGGCATCATCATCTCTTTTTGTTTCTTCGCCTCTTTCCACTCTTCCCATCCTGATTTTCTTGGGGTTTGCAGCACTTAGACCAGAGAGCACAGCACCAAAGGCCTATGGGGGCAGCTCCTTGCCCGATATGTCCTGTACTCATCACGTTGGACAGCAGCTTGTCACCTCCAGCCACAGCCAAGAATCCAAACTGGCCTTTTGTGCTCCAGCAGCCTTTTTCCGTTTGGAGCTCCTGCTCCAAAAGGTGCCTTCAAAATCAGGCATGCACAACCACAGCAGCCACCCTGGTCATGCTCCTCAGCATGCCTGCGGTCTTTCTGCTGTTTGCCAGGGCTTAATATTACAAGTCTGGGGGAAATTTTCTTGCACACCAGGAAAAGCAGAGTTATGATGCTGCAGGGTGGTCTGCTTTGAAAAAGGAAGGCCCTTTTGGTCCTGTTTCCCTTTGCCAGGACCTTCCCTAAAGAGCCACAAGGTGAAGGTGCCGTGGGCAGCTGGAGAATGCTCCAAATCAGTCTGTGTCCTCCTGTTTTATGCTGCTGATGGGAACAGGAAGCTCTGTCTCTCCAAATTCTGCATCTGCAGGGTCAATAGTTTCTTCTTTCACCCGCACAGCAATGACTAGCAAGAGACAGACAGAGAGAGGGAAAAATAAGTAAATAAAATCAACCCATATCGACTTATCTGCAGCACCTCCAAACCAGCTCTGTCAATGCAGGTACTCAAAATACCCGAGGCCTGGGGCCTGCCTGCTTCCTGAGGGTCCCTCACCACAGGCAGCCCTGTCATGCCACTGCAAATCTATCCACGGTCACAACAGCAATCAGGATGGGACTAAACCCTGGAAGCATTCAACTGCTGGCTCCCAAGAACAACTCCTAAGGGAGGAAAAGCTGGTGTGGTCCATTTTCAATCTGCCTGGGTTCACACGGGAACTTAAATGAACAGAAGGGACCTTCATGACTCTCCAATCCCCATGTGCACAAGGCACCTCACCCACCCTCCTTCCCCCTACCCACTAGGGTTGGCAGGTGACCCAGCTGCTCTTCTGGTCACCACAGCACGAGAGACTGTGTCCACATGCTGCAACAGCCCTTATGGGGATTATGATGTGACAGCCACCTCTGACATATCTACTTTGTCTCTCCTCCCTGACCTCACACAACCAGAGTGCTCAGCAGGGCAGCCAGGCTCTCAGCAGGCATTAGCAGCATTGAGATATTGAGCAGTACTGGTCCCACCAAACCTTCTCAGGAGGCAAACCTTTCCAGGGAAAACAAATGTTTTCTTCTACTCTCTGGACTGTATCTGGAGGAGTAGGGAAGGACATCTGACATGCTGCTGCCTTTTCCTGCCTGTGGGGGCATCCATGACTTAGTGGCCAAGAGGGTGTATGGGGAGAGGTGGATGTGGCTGCAGGGTAAAGTAACTCATTCCCTTACTCTCATCAGGTGCTGGTTCTGGCAAAGCCTGGCTGGCAGCTTTTGCTTCTCGTTTTGAATTTGTGGCAGAAGGTTTCTTGACAGTCTGCTTGACACTGCGGGCTTTGGCAGGTAACTTTTTTCCTTAACAAAGAGATAACAGAGTATGAGCAAAAGTGTGTTTCTTTTCCCCTGGAAAATCAGCAACCCTGCTCCTCTGAGAAACCACAGGCCAGGGACCAGCACAACCGAACAGAAAGCTACATGGTCATTAGCTGCCAACTGGTTATACAACAGAAATTGCCTACTGGAGAAAAATTCTATAGACATCACCTCAAAACATGCTCCTTCATGTTCTCCTTCATTAAAGGCAAGGCACTTCAGCATGTGTTTAACTTCCAAGGAGCAGGTCCTCTTGGAATCAATGTGGAGTCAGCTCTGCTTACCTGTCTGGGTCTAGTCCTAGGCAATGAGCATTAGTTGCCGCAAGGCGCAGATATTGTAACCGTAATGTTCTGGTTTTTAGCTGACCTTTTTATTTAGGTTTAAAATCTTTATATTCGTTAGAGTTCCTTTCCCCTCCATCCCTCAGGAAGAAATATTTTGTCTGTCTACATGATTTGCCACAGCTACTCCAATAATAATAATAACAATGACAAGACGAAACAATAAAATGGCCTCTTCAGCCATCTTAAGGCCTTCTTTCTCTCAGCACAAAGCAGGGTTGCTCTCCAGCTACCCTCCAGCTGCAGCAAACATCTCCCTCTAACCACGGACACAGTATGGAAAGCAGCACAACCTCACACCTGGAAGCAACTGCCACATATACCTCGGCCAACAGAAAACAAACTGCAAAACAGATCCTTCCTGCACACAGCTCTCTGCTTTTTAGGTAACAGGGCAGGTAAGAAGGATGAAGCTGTGCTGGCAAACCCACAGCCAACTGAGGGCATCCACAGCAACACAAGGCCTCTCTCTCCTGCTCTGATGGGACATGGACAGGGTTCCTCTAACTGGGCCCAGCCTGCGAGCGAGCGGGAGGGCACTAATCAAACATCACTCACTCTTCTTTCCATAGGGTTTCTTCTTCTTCTTGGGCACCTCCTTGGCCTTCGCTGGAGTTGTGGGCTCTGTCATAGAGACGAGAGGGAAACGAAAGCCAAGTCCCATAACCAGTAGGTAACTGGGATGAAGTGACATAAGCGAGAAACAGATATACCCGTCCCCCCAAGCCAAAGCCCTCTTCCCAAGACAACCAGCTGAGGGGAAAGCAAGGCTCTAGTGCAGTTGCTGTCTGTGCTTCCAAGTGAGGGCCCAGGGCAGCAGGCTGGGACAGCACAGGCGAGAGAGGCCCAGTACAGACTTGGTAGGGGGCAGTAAAGAAACAAGATTCATAGTCTGGGACAAGAAGGACAACATCTGCAAAGGTGAGGCAGTGGCCTCCCCGTGACAAGGGAAGGAACGAACTCTTGAGAGGACGCTCTTACCTTTTACAGACAGAGTCAGAGAGTTGATGAGAAAAGGGAGCATGGGTTGAGCTCCTGCAGCTATCTGGCTAAGGTTATAGAGATGCTTAATAAAAGGGAGCTGTGCAGGGATAGGACCACCTGGAACTCTACCCAACTTCCTCAGGAGCAATTAATTCTCTGTTGGTGTAGGGGAACAGAGCCAATCTCAAAACTCAGGCTGTTTTCTCCCCATCATGGCTCCTCCCTCTGCCAGCTGCTAGGATGTGGCAATAGAGGAAAGTTTATGGTAGCCAGAGCAAATCAAGGAGGCCATTTGCTTCTCCCTACAAGGCCCAAAACTCAAAGGAGCCACTCACAGAGCAGCAGGAAGGAAACTTTTATCTCTAGCATTAGAATTCACAATAAAATCTTCAGTCACCTGGAACCACTGGTGGTTGGAGCTGGTAGCCTGTCAGCTCACACCACCCCACAGGATAAATGTCTGGAGACTCGCAGTCCACCCACTGGTCATACTCGTTGTCCCAGCCATCAAAATGGATGCTAAGGAGACGTTGGACTACACGCTTCACTGTGGCCACACAGATGAGCCGGGGCTCCATCAGGTCCACTGCCTCCACCTTCATGCCTGCCTTGAAGCCATGGTTTGGACAGTCCTGGGTGCATAAAAAATGAAAATGTGAAAAAAGAAAAGCCAAGGCCATTGCACTCAGTCCAAACCCATATCTGGCCAACAACATTCTCACACAGGCTGGCCTCCAGCCTAAAGCAAGCAGACAGACAACAAGCCCACAAATCCAAAACCAGATCCAAGGCCAGCTGTGTCCTTAGTCAAACTCAGCCCAGCCTTCAGAAGCAAGATCCTGATGTGTGGGGAGCAGCAGCTCAGGAATACACAGTCAAACAATTACCTGACATACCCCTGGGAAACCAGAAAGACCAGCATAGGCCCAGGTGCTGCAGCAGTTTTGTTGATGTAAAGCAGTTCTCACATGCCAGCCACACATCCACAGGCAATGAGCAATGCAGAGCCTACCAGGAGCCTGGAGCTCACAGAAACACTAGAGAATCACAGGTGACATTTAGAGGGACCCACAAAGGCAGGACACTGATGCCCCACCTTGGAGAGCACATAACTCCTGGGCCTTTGAGCTCTCTTTAAAGTGCTGACAGTCAGCAAACTGCAGCCCAGTAGAGACTGCACATATTGCATATACTCCATATTGTCCATCCTGACTTCAGGAAGGCTTTTGACACTGTCTGTCATAAGAATCTCATAGAGAAGATGATTGAACTATACAGGCTAGATGCAGAGACAGCAAGATAGACTGAAAACTGGCTGGGTGACTGGGCCCAGAGGATGGTTATTAGTGGCATGAAGACTAGTTGGAGGCTAGTAATTAGCAGTGTACCCCAGGGATCATTACTGGATCCAATCCTATTCAAATTGGGAGGAGAGACAATATACTAGATGGTTGTGCTGCCCTCCAGAGGCATCTTGACAAGCTGGAGAAATGGCAGAATCCCATATCTGCAGAGGACGAACCCCGGGCACCAGCACAAGCTGGGGACAGACTGACTGGAAAGCAGTATGGCTGCTAATGGCCTGGGCATCCCAGTGGACATGAAGTTGAACATGGGCCAGGGATATGCCCTTGGGACGAAGAAGGCTAATGGCAATCTATTCTCAGCAGATGAGTGGAAGTGATCCTTTCCCTCTGCTCAGCATGGATGAGGACACACCTGAATTATTCCCTGGTACAAAAGAGATATGGACATACTAGATAGAGTCCAGCAAAGGGCCAGGAAGATGATGAGGGAACTGGAGCATCTTTTGTATGAGGAAAGACTGAGAGAGTTGTGACTGTTCATCCTGGAGAAGAAAAGGCTCAAAGGTACCTTATTTATGTGTATAAATGCCTAAAATGAGGGTGCAAACATGAAGCCAGATTGCTCTCAGTGGTGCCCAGTGCCTGGACCAGAGTTAATAGGCACAAACTAAAACACAGGAGTTTCCTTGTGAACATCAGGAGACACGTTCTGCCCTGAGTGTCAATGAGCAGTGGCACAGGTTGCCCACATGGTTGTGGAGTCTCCATCCATCTGGACACGGTCCTGAGCAACCTGCTACAGGTGACCCTGCTGTAGCACGGGTGTTGGACATGAAGTCACTTCCATCTCAGTGATCTTGTGACAGCCAGAGCTGTTGCACTCTTCCTTGCTTACTCCAAGTGTTGCTACACATCATTTCTTCCTGGCAGTACTCACTGTGTTGAAGAGACGTGATGGAGCAGGTCTTGATTTGGTCTCTTCCAGGTAACGCTCCCAGCTGAATGTCTTGGCATCATGCCCTGCAGAAGGAAGAAACGCTAAGAGGTAAAAAGGCAGCCACTGGGTAGACTAGCTGGGACAAAAGGCAGAGTAGGCAGGAAGAGGCATGGCAACTGGTTGCAGAGCAGGTCAGTAAACCAGCACATACAGCCTGATCTTGGACATGAACCTAGTGCAAGGATTCCATGGGAGTCCAGCACCCCCTCCAGCAGGCAAATACAGGAAAGTGCAAGTTGCAGCTCTGAACACCTGCATCAGCCATAGACCCAGACCACAGAGAAAGGGGAGGATCAGCAGCAAGTATGAAGTAGTATGCTCAAAACACACCACTAAGACCAATCTCTCTCCCAGCAGTAGGAACATCAAAGGAAGATGGAACAGCACTGAACAAAAATGCTGCAACACAGAAATTTAGAGCAGGACTTTTTGGGTATGGCTAGATGAGGCAGCAAAAACACTCTTAGGGTGATCGTCTCTTAGGAGTTTGAAGAAATACTCATGTCAGATCTATTAATAGAGAAAATAGAGATGACTCTGGACCTTAAGTACTGACTCCTGCAGCAATGGCTCTACTTATCCCTTCTCATCCTTCTTGTCCTTTAAAAGCTTTTGTTCTGTTCAGTTTGGGGATCATACACCTCTCCCTCTGATCTGCCAGGAGTTAACCAAGACTTGGTATATGAGCAGAGATCAAACAGCCTGGGTCTCTGAACTAGCCCTGTCTCCTGAAAAACAAGCAGATTGGGACCTTGTTTTGATTCATCTGAGCCTGACTCCTTTTAGAAACACACCAACCATCAGATTCTGCATGCAGGTTTGTACTGCAGGGCAGAGTCCAAATCTCACCTTTTGGAGGGGTCAGCTCAATGTTGTTCCTCTTACAGAAGTTGGCAGGGAAGATGGCATGTGAGGAGGCATGATAGCAGAACCAGTCAGAGCCATCATCAGATGTTGCTCCATCAATGCTGATCATGAGATACCCATCCAAGAGAACCTGAGATGGGAGGAAAGGCATGAGTGTAGAGCTCTATTTGCTCCAAAGCCTCTCTTCCTCACAAAAGATTCTCTCTAGAGTCCCTGCATATCGATCACAATTGCCATTAGACAGTAAAATGCAGTGTTATATGCCCCAAGCTTCTCCTAATACGTTAGTCAACACAAGCTAATCCCCAAACCAGCAATTTCTGCAAGACTGGGACCAACACTAACAGCCTTGTGAAAGGACTATGTGAAAAGCCTTAAATGGTCAAGAGCTCTGTTCTCCCCCAGAAACACTTTATTGGCAGCCCCAAACCCCTCTACACCAGCCAGATCATGAATTTGTTACTGGGTAGAAGGGAAGGAGCACCATCCTTGGATTTGCTACTTCTTATAAGCAATGAGACTTGTCCCATGCTGTCACTCACTGGTAATTGGTGCCTACCAAAGGCAATAGGCATGCCTGTCCCAAACTCTGCCATTTCCAAGCAGTGGCTGAAGGGAACATTTTACAGACACAAACAGCTCTAGCAACCCACTGCCAAACTCCAAGTGTTAAAGTCCTCAGCTTGCTGTGAGGGCAAACAGCTTCTTGAGGAAGCAGGAAAAGCCCAGATAGATGCTACACTTTCAACATTCAACACACTTAGCTGAGAAAACCAGGACAAGGAATTTACTTCTCAACACTAGCACAAGAGTAGAGCTTACAATTACTTCAGCAATAGAAACTGATGGAGACTAGTCCATCCTCAGCTTCCTCATGCTATTCCCCACATGGAGGTCACCTCACAACTCTTCCCTTCTTTCCACAGGGGCCTCTCTATGCACTCTCAGAACTGGAGAACAGATCTTCCCCACTGTACACCCAAGGGTGGAAAGTGGGTGGTTGCAGGTGACGCACACTGGACACTAGCTTGCAGACCAAGCATGCTCATCTTCATGCTGCCTGTTTAAGTACACACGGACAACAGCTTATCAGACCTGCAACCCCCCTGGGTAACCCCCCACACAACAGCTATCCGCCTCTCTTGACAGCCTTCTCTGCTCCCCCTTGCAAAATCCCACCTGGTCTCATTAATTTAAAAAAGACTTGAGGAGAAGCTGCATTATCTCAAGCAAACAAAGCAGACTCCCTTAGGCTCACTGAACTTACCTTGCATACAGTGGCCACACAGATGTTGCCCAGGTTCAGGGGGTCAATGGCTTCCAGTTTCATGCCTCGCTCAAACCATCCACCTTCAGAATAGACAGCTCGTACCTAAGGGAGACTCTGGGTTACCATGTGCTGCCAGGGGTATGGGACAGTCCCATCCCAACACCAAGGACAGCAAATGCAAATAGGATTAGAACTTCTTCACTTGGCTCAACTTGGGAGGGGAAAGCAAAAATATTATAAGAAATACAAAGAGGCAGTCAAACCAACACTATGTTTGTGTCAGCAAACTCTTGCCACGGCTCTGGTCAGTCAGAGAGCCAAGCCCAACTGCTGTTCCACAACAAAGCAAGCCTCCTTCTCAGTCCTTACCATCACGATCCAGTTCCTGGTTGGAACTGGTCTCTCCCATGCAATCTTCTTCCCTCTCCAACTCAAAGCTCCTTTGCTTACCCTTCATTTGAGTCCCTTAATCTGTCTCTATCCTTTAATTCTTTCAGCTTTCTAGTTTGACCTGCTCCTGCTTAACAACAGCCTTGATACCCCAAATATCTTACTGCCTTTAGCTATAAGAAAAACCACCCTCAACAACCCACACAGCAGCATGTATGCCCAAGCAAGGAAGTGCTATCACTGCTTCCTTCTTTGTGACCCCCACAGAAAGGCAGACTTATCCTACCTTCTTAAACAGATAGGGGACAGCATCACAGTAAATTTTCCGGAAGGTGGGATGGTTTGCCATGTCATTACGTTTTTCTTCTGTGAGGAATGGAAGAAACACAGAGAGGTAAAGAACTTGCAGCAACTGCAGTAAAAAAACAGACTGGTTATTAATTTTTCTGTGAGAGATTAGCTTCTATAATCCCCCTCAGTATGAGACCATTTAATAAAAATAACAGGTCAGTCCTTCTACACTTCTCTTAAAATGGGCTGTGATGAAGGGCTTGCTCAAAAGCAGATGGCTCAGCTTCCTGAGCACTACTGACAACACCTCTACATGTAGCTGTAATCATCAGGGAGACGCAGTAAGGAATGGAGACACAACCAAAAGGTTCAGCAGAGCTCAAGTCTTGCTTTTTTCTTTGTCTTTTACTTTACTTTGCCAGAGTAAGCCAATCAACAATTCCTCTTGGTAAAGTCCAGAAAAACACAACCTGATGGCATCCAGTGTTACAGAAGCCAGCATGAATTTTCTCAAAAAGACTATAAACATCTCTCATGTTGCAAAGTCTGCATTCTCACACTAAGGGGACAGACTGCCAGCTTCAGGTAAGAAACCCTACAGTCGCCCATTCTGACCTGTGATCACAGGGCTTTTATCTATCCAGATTTAAAAAAAAGCAGACACAAAACTAAGCAGACTTCACCTGCTAGATCTTGAGGAAACTGCCTCTCTCCCATCATGTCAAGACTGGTGTCAACAGCAGGGTGCAGGCAGTTCCCAGCAAATCAAAAGATGGTTGCAGTGGCGTGATCCTTACCTGTCTTCTTTATGTCGTGGCCGACTCTCCGTGACCAGCCCACAGGATGGATGAGAGGACTCCACATGTGGCACCAGAAGTCATCATCACTGTCACCGTCCTCATAGAGGAGTCTCAGTCTGCCCCCAATTACTGTGTCCACCACTGCCATACGTGTCTGGGACACATGGTTCTTATCCACCACCTCGACCCGCATGCCTTGCCGAAACGGGTACTTCATGCTCTCCGCCATCTGGCAACAACCAACAGAGGTGAGATCAACCACAGTTCTCCAAACACTCCAGAGAACAGCTTTCCCCACAGACATGCACCCTGGTACTGCCCAAAGCTGACTAGGAAGGGATCCATAGGAGTTGGTTCATTGGTGGAACAGGTAGCTTGCAGCCCCAGACATTAAAATGTGGTTGGGCACACACCCTGGGTCTCCCTTTTGTCACGTGGCCTCATAAAAGCTCCCCCACTCCAGCTCAGCAGTGATGCCCACCCACCACGTTGTGTGAATGTTCCCAGTGAGAACTTCTGTTCATGAGGAACTGAATAAGGAATTGTGTGTGCCTTTTTCAGTCCATGAAAGAGATCACAAGGGTCTTGAGGCTGCAATTAGTTGTAGGTGTAGCTTCCCAAAGGGCAACAGGATTTTTAGTTGACTTCAAAAGAGGTCAGGTTCTTATTTCCACCTTTTTATTCTGATCATAGGTTGAAATACATGATGATCTATCTGCCAACTCCACATCCAAAGCCAGTTACTCTGCAGACTGACCCAAAGGCACAGGTACGTGGTGTCACTGGCCGCTTTCTGACTTTTTTTGAGACCTTCAGTTTGTTCACACAGCCTTGTCCTACTCATCCACAAATACCCAATGGTGTTTATAGAACCTCAGACTTTTTGGAACTGTGATCCCAAGATGCTGTGCAGCAACTAGGAAACACAAAACAGATACCCAAACCAGCCTACACCTGAATCCAGAAGAACTTTTAAACTAAGATCTTCCCCTTCTACCTCCTGTTTATTAGGTGGGAGTGGAGATGCTGAGGGGAGAAAGACAAAAGCAATGTCTGTTTCCCTCCACCACTTCTCTTCCAGCTACAAGCTGGGGCGCAGGAACAAGCAGCTACAAACACCCTCTTAACCGTCTGAGAAGTACCATGGGAAGAATTAACTATATGCAGATCTCCAGCTCGGTGTCACCACTTACCCTGCACAAAGAACAAGCTATGCTCTGCCTTCCTGCCTGCTGTCTCTGGGACTGTCTTCCTTATCTGCCATTTCCAAAGCTCCTAGCCACAGAAAACCCTCTTCCCTTTAACAAGGTCTAATCTCAGTGCAGACTAGACAAAAACAATCATGACAGCTATAAAGATGCCAAGGCCATAGCACTTAAAGGAAGCTTGTGCCCCTCTCCCTCTCTGCAGGCTGTTTTGCTATGCACATTGAAGGCAAAGTCTTTTGACTCTGAGAGCTACTCCCTGGCACTCAAACAGAGCAGAGAAAGGCCAGGTTGGAGCGACACTGGCCTCTCCCTTCAGCAAAGTGCCAAACCTTATCCCCAGTATTTCCCAGCAGACCACGTGACAACAGCTTTTAAAGCCTGCCTGTGACCCAAAGCAGAAACTGTGGTGCTGAGAGAGGGCATGGAGGCTGTGCTATCCATTACTCACAGCATCATGACAGGTATCTTAGGAGCATGTGGAAGCACTCACTGCCCCTGCCCTGCTCAGGTTTCAAGGCATACAAAAGTTGCACAGATCAGAACCAGAAGAGACATGTTGAGCATATGTCTTGACTTCAGCTTCATTTCCCCCATGCAAAATGACAGCCCCCCACATTTACCTTCATGTGGAAATCCACTGGGATGGTCCTAGCTCCCACCAATTTTTTCATGAGGTAACTTCTCCAGTCAGTGTACTTGGCATGGATAGCTATATATGGGCAGGGAAAAGTCCATCTTTATGACCAAAATAATTACAGCATCACACCTTTCATCTCTCTGACAGCCCACTAGCACTAAAAGGCCTTCTTAACACTCAGATTCTGTACTCTGTTTTGCCAGCTTGCCCTCACATCTGGGTGAAGGGATCACCACCACAGAATGAACTGGGCCAAGCATTCAGCTCCACTAATCTAGATGAGGAAGTGGTAATAGAGCAAAAACACATGAGCTATATCAAGCAAATCTCAGCTTGCCAGAATTCCACTAAACTGGCATCCCTCTCCGAACTGCTAGCTGTGCAGGGACTGGAGCCACTGCACTTACTAGAGACGCTGCCCAGAATACAGGACCAAAAAGTTTCCCCAAAGTTAAAGTTCAGCCACCATGTGGGTTAGCAGGAGGAAAAGCCACCTGCATTAGCTCCCACAGGTCTGACATCAGCTCTGCATGCAGCATTCCCAGGTCAATGATAGGGGGATGCAGAGGGAGCAATCCAAGCAGTCTCCAGCTTTCCAAACTCAAACTGCTGGTTGTAACTCAAAGCACAAATTGAGCTGTAGTCCTACATGCAGTGGGAGCACCTGTGCTAGGCACAAACCAAAGCTTCTCCACGCCCTGGCACAAGCTGACCTCTCTTGCCCCACACTCACTTTGTGGTGGTACCAGGATTTTGCTGTTGATGGCACACCAGCCAATGGGGTGAATATCCACTGTGCCCAAATTGCACCAGAAGTCGTGACCAGCATCGTTCTCAAAGCCCTCATACCGCAGAAGGGCCCTGTATCCTGCCAGGACAGAGCAGACAACCAAAGGCATTAGAGGCCAAGAATTTGGCACCACAGGTTTAGTACCCAAAGCATGGCCTTCAGAGCTCTGCATAGGTTACCAGAGCTTCTCCAGCAACTATTTCTGCAAATTGCCCAGAACCCAGAAGAGGAACCACGTGCTGGTTTCCTCTCACTCCCGCACCATGGTATTTCCTGTTCCAAAATCTCTCAGCAGTTGTAGAGCTCCAAAGAGTTGCTTTTTTGCTTGTCCAGCTACCCTCAGCTCTCTAAAGCTTCCCTCAGAGCTTAGATGTGCCCAGCTGTCACAGATTACTTTGGAGACTTACCTACAATCTGGATGACAGATGCAATCCAGTACACACGGCTGGGGAGCACAGCATCACTGTTCAACACTTCCACTTTCATACCTTTCACCACATCATCCCACTGATCAAAGAGAGGCACCTGAAAGATTGATGCAGCCATGTTGGGAGAGGGATGTGGGAATCAGGGCAGGCTTCAGGCCCTTCTAGGTTTCAGAGACATGTCTTAGGCAGCTACACTTTCACCTTAGACACAGGCTTGCATGCTTTACCCCTCCTAGTTCTGCCAACATCTTGAAATATAGTTGAACTGTCCCAAACATCTCACTGGGATATTCACTGAGGATCCAAAAGGCAGAATACCATACAGTAACACTGAACTGTTTCACTACCAGATGTCCTATTATTCCAAAGTAGCTGCTGCTGTTCCTTTATGGCATAAAAACACTTAACAATCAATAAAAATGCCATGTCTGCCTGACCTATCTTCAAGAAAAAGGAAATGCAGTCAGTATTATCAGACCACAACTCAGAAGGAATATAACAAGTTTCATAAAAATGGGACATGCTGGAGGGGCAGCTACTGCCAGGCTCACATAAACTGAATTCCTCTCTGCACATGATCCTGGGCTGTACTCAGCCATACAAATTACAAAATTAGCTTCCCACTATCATCCTCAGTCAGAACTAATTCTGTTCCCAGTCAGCACTGAGCCATTGCTACTGATGCTAGAAAATAGATCTTCCCAACAATCTTAGAGTGAATACAAAAGGAAACCTTTACTTGAAGGCTTTCAGGTACACAATATGGCAAAATCACATGTAGTATAGAAATTCTACAATTTTTATAAGGTTAGTCGATTAGCATACAGATCATATACTGTCCAGTTAAAACCATAGTTGGTTAGATAATAATTCTTGGGGTTCTGACCCACTGGAAGCAGTCCAGAGATTTCTTTTGCCCACTTTTGTTATGTCTGGTTCATATTCTGGTTGGAAAACAACGTTTTTGTAGTTGGTTCTCTTCTTGGAATAAGACTATGATATTTCTGAATGTGTTTATAAAGTTCACTTATTGTTCTTAAATGTAGGGAGAATTGGAAAAATACTAGAAGCTACAGCCATGCTTTAGCAATCTACAAAGCTACAAATACATGAAAAACATAAAAAGCTAAAAATCTTAGGCATCACTATCAGCAGTGCTTCTATCAAGTCCCCCTCTGCTTCCTTCCCCCCAGACTCCCGGACCCTTTGTGAGACTCCCATTCTCAGCTGCAAGAAACTCTAACTTGTTTCCTTGCATCACCTGGGTCTCAATAACCCCCTGCTCACCACCTGTCACAGGAGCATAAGACCCTGTGTATAAGACACATCCTGTGTGCCCTGTCATGCACAGCAAAGTAGAACTCACGTGTTTGAAGCAACTGACAGGAGCTGCCTTGTAGCTGTGCTCCTGCAGGTACTTTCCCCAGTCAAAGCCCAGGACGAGTGCTACAAGCAGACATGAGAGCAGAAAATCAGATGAGATCACAAAACAGGCATAGAGATCAGTTACCTCTGGACTACAGCCTGCAGCCTCCAGTCACTAGGACACAGCACACAGGGATTATGCATTCCACTGCATTTTCTCTGGTGGGAAACTGCACTCTGTGTGAGTGCATGGTCACTAACCCCCACAAGAGGCAAAATACATTATTAATCAATATTTGCTGTCATTTGCTTTTGGAAAAGGAGGAGCAGAAAGGGCAATAAAAGAGGTCAAGTCCAGCCCAGGGCTAAAGCACTCCGGGAAGAGTGCATCCTTTCAGGGTTAAATGACTTCACGTCTTTGCCCCTCAGCAGCAACACTGAAGGGTCATATCAGCAGCACTTGCTTTCCCAGAGAATGCTGAGAAAATCAGAGATACTAATTTGAGCGATCAGTCCCACAGTCAGTCCTGGTTGAAGGCTATGGCTCTGCTGCAGCAGTAGTCTGCTCAGGGATCACTCCCCGCTGCTGCCGTGCCCCAGCACTTCCCTTTTCCCTAACACAGTAAAGTGCTGCTCCTTCAGCTGAAGTGACTGGTTATTGCTCAAGTTGATCAGTGAGGGCAAATATAACTCCCCATGAGCAGTGGGACAACAAATGGCTGGGAGAACAGGACACCTTTAAGTCACCTTAGCCAGCAGAAGTCAGCACCTCGTGGGTGCTGGGACCAGAGAGCTTACACTCCAGGTCAAGTCGTATGAGGAGTGAGGATGAGGCTACAAGACTGGATGGGCAGGAAGAGGAAAAAAGATGTGCCATGTGCTCTGCCAGACTGTGTCAGAGTGATCCATACACATCATACAAAGCAGTGTACCAGAAAGGAGGAGGAGGAGGACTGCAGAGCTTACAGCCCTCAAGGTGTCCCCATTTCTGTGACTCCTGCAGCTGCACCTCCTCACACCTCACCTACACTCACCATCCTGACCTGTCAGTGTCCCATCTGCCAGCTGTCCTGTGCCCTGCGAATGGAGGAAAGCCCCGATCTTGGCTGACCAGGATGCCTTGTGCAGAACTTTAGCTTTCTTTGTTGGTGGTTTCCCCTACAAAAGAACAAACATTAGAAACATTAATGGCACAGGAAACTAAGTCACCTCCTGCAACTGGGTATGCATCTCTTCCTAATCTTCAGGTTACTACAATATTTATTAACGCTCACAGGAACAAGAAACAGCAAGTAAAATAGCAGTGTGTCCTTTCTTAGCTTTTAGGGAACACCACCTTTAAGCTGTCATGCCTTCTCTGGGGACTTCAGGCAGGAAGAACAAGCCACTGGGAATGTCAGCCTGATATTTAATTAGAGAGCAACCACCTACCCCTACATAAGGCACATCCTGCTCCATCCCCAGGAAAGCTCACGGAATTATAGAATCTCCCTGAAGAGCTAGAAGTCTGCCTTCCTAAAGTTCAGGAACATGACTTTACTCTTTAGCTGATCCATATTCCTCAAGATTGCAAATTCCAGCAATGCATGACCACTGCAGCTGGAGCCACTGCCTCCAGTATTCACATCCCCAACAGGTTCACTTACCTTGGTGACCATCATTTCTACTGTTGCATTCCCTGTGCTACAGCTGTCTATTCCCTGGCTTAAGAAATTATCTCCCATGCATTCCAGGAGTCTCCTGGATTACCTACAGCTTGTCATGCTACTTTGCAAGTATAGGGCTGGTTGAAGTCCCCCAGCATGACAAGACCTTGCCAACGTGATGGAGCCCGAGAGCTAGATGGAAAGGTTTTAACTCACCTGCAGTCTGGCCAAGATGCTGGCCTTTTTGGAATTTGAGGAGTAGCTCCTGGAGCAGGACACACTACAGAAACGTTTGGTCTTGGAGAAGAAAGCCTCTCTGGTGCCCACAATTCCACACATTTCGCACACAGCTGAGAGAAGGAAGGCCAAAAACGTGAGCATTTGGCTGAGTCAATGCACTACAAGAACAGAGCTGAGACCAGCTAACTGTCATTATACAGAGCAGATCCCCCATATAGCCCAGAAAATGCAGTCTGAACCCAAAGCATCCCCAAGATGCAGCCACACACCCTTCACTGCCCCTGAAGTTGTTTCAGGCAGCACAAGCAGTACCTGGCTCAGAGCCACTGTCTTCTGTGAGCCGGCCTGTGGATGGGTGGTGCATCAGAGAGGTTGAAAACTCTCCAGCTTCCCGGTCTGCCACCTCATCATCGCTGGACTCCTCCAGACAGGAGCTGCTGTCACTACCCATGCTGCTGTTGTAGCACGTGAGGCTATCATAACCCCCAAAGATGTCCAATTCATCATCCTCCTCATCGTCATTGCCTTCCTCCTCCATCCGCTCCAAAGATGTTGTTTTGTGGCTGAAGGCAGACACCAACTACAAAAAGAGCCAGTTTGCTTTAAAATAGACATTTTACACCGCACTGCACAATAAACCTGCCTTTGCTGCTGCGGGAGGCCCTCTTGGGCCAGGGAGTGACCTTAGGGTGAGCAAGGAGTCCACATAACAACCCCAAAGACAGGACACTGAATGCTTTCTCCCAAACAGGTCCCTTTACTGGTATTCCACAGGCTGCATTCTGCTTCCCAAGAGAAAAGTGCCACAGGGTTGTAGCTACATAGAAAACAGCTTGGAAAAATACAGGGCAAAGCACTGCCATGCTGATGAAGGACAGATGAGACTGTGTCCTTCCAGGCAATTTTCCTCCCAACACAGTTGCACAGCACAGCAGTGCAGACACAACCACAGTAAAGCCAGCACAGGCTTCCAGAACGAAGCACAAGCTGAACATTCCTGCCACCACAGCTCACAAGACCAGCACAGCCTGGAAGTCAGCAGGGGCACAGTCAACAGTCCACAGCTGACCTTGGTTCAGAAACTACACCAGCAGGATGGCAGAACATTTGCTACAGGTTTTTGCCTAAAACCAGATGCCTCCACAGCTAAACATTTTCACTAGCTCTTTGTACTTGCTGTTATAGCAGGAGAACTGTGAGGAAGAGACTGAAGAAAGAGCACAGAAAAACAGTGTGTCTCAGACTAGAAGAATCTTGAACCAGGCTGCAAATAAACACAAAAGAAGCTGGGAAAATGTGCTAGCAACTCATGAAGGAGCAGCAAGAAGTCAGCATCAGCACAGGAAGTGATGGAACAGAGGCAGATTCAAACAGATACACGAAGCAGGATACAATTGTTCCTCCAAGCGAGCAACAACAAAAGATCAACAGCAAGCCCATCACCTTCCAGTGCTAAATTCCCTCTGATCCCTGGCTTCTGGCTATCATTATAGACACCAGGACAGGAAGATCAGACTTCACTCACTGCTGTCTCCCCGCATCCTCCCTGGCTTTCACACAAAACAGACCCAAGGTTCCCAGGTTGGTCCCTGAACACAGAGCTTCTCTCCTGCGGATCCAGGCCCTCAGATAGCATTCTTGACATCCGAAAGGCCTGAACTCCGTTAAAAAAGAAATGTTTTCATCGCCTTCTAGTCCCTGTGTGGGTGCACCTTACACCAGCTCGTAGGACGTGAGCACCATTGCATCGTTACTCTTCCACAACAGGTGAGTAAAACTTGTGAAAACATTACAAGTCCCCAGGGCTGCCAAGCAAGGGCAGCATCATCCTGAGCCTTCTCAGAAAGCTGAGGGGGACGTGGGGGCCCATCTCGCCGGGATCAGACGGACCCACCGCCGCCCCCAGGAGCATCCCAGCCCGGGCCCCAGCGGAACCACCGTCCCGTCCCGTCCCGTCCCGTCCCGTCCCGTCCCGTCCCGTCCCGTCCCCTCCCGTCCCGCTCACTTCTCCCCCGTCCCGGTCCCGCTCCATCGCTCCCCGAACGCCGCCAGCCCGCCTCACGCGCGTGGAGAGCGTCCCCCGTTAGCTGTGCGTCTGATTGGTGAGAGCAGTGGAAAGCACAGCAAATCAGCGGGGAGCTTGTTCCCACTGCGCTGCCCGCGGGGCATGACGGGACCTGTAGTTCTTTTACCGCGGCCAATGCTCGTTGCGGTGGTCCCGCCCAGGAAGGGGCCGGGCCCCGCTGCTGCCTGCTCGACTCCGTTCCTGCTTGTAATTCGGGATCAGCCCCCTGTGTCCTAGAATGGCTTGGATTGGACGGCACCTTAAAGAACATCCAATTTGAACCCCCTGCGGTTAGCGGGGTCACTTTTCACTAGAGCAGGTTGCTCAGGGCCTCATCCAACTTGGCCTTGAACACTCACAGGGATGAGACTTCCACAGTTTCTCTGGGCAACCTGTGCCAGTACCTCACCAGTCTCATCGTAAAGAATTTCTTCCTGTATCTAATCTCAGTCTGCCCTATTTCAGTCTAAAATCACTGCCCCTTGTCCTGCCACTACGTACTCGTATAAAAAGTCCATCTCCCTCCTTTTTAGAATTCCCCTCCAGGTACTGGAAGGCTGCAGTGGGGTCGCTCCAGAGCCTTCTCTTCTCCAGGCTGAACAACCCTATCTCTATTTGCCTATCAAGGAGCTTATGTAAAGGTAAGTCCCTGAAGGCAGTCCTATTTTCCACTTCATCCCTTCTATTTTGTTATCACTGTCACTGTGTTGATGTTGTAGGAGAAAAAAAAAAAAAAAAGGCTGAACTGTACATTTCTACTCTTTATGAAATGATGCCTTGGGCTTTAGCTTTTATATTTTTCAGATTTTCTGTTGCTTAGTGTGTAACTCTGAAACTTCGTATTAGGTGTTAGTAAGTTCTCTTCACAGAGTAGTTAGACAAAACAATCCCTTCCCAGCTAGAGAATCAAGGACACTCGTTACCCAAAAAGCATAAACAATGGTGAAGGGAAGGGGGCAAGCCGGGGGGTTGATACCTCATAGCCTGGGGCTGTGGTTGGATAATTGACCCCAATATGTAGATGAACCAAAACTCATAAAAGCGTAAAGTCTGCTAGGATCCATCTTGGATTTGATTTGGGTGTAACCCCTGCTGAGCTCTTGCACTGCCCAAAGTGTATTCTT